TTTTTTTCTATTTAAGTGCTTTCTATCTAACACTCACACACATGCAAACTCCAATAGATGCATCAAAGAGCGACTTGGTGTTAGTAGCTTGCCCAAGAATAATTGGCATCCAGACTGGAGCAGTCACCAACTTTCAGATTAATAGATGCCTGCGCTACCTCCTGGGCTAAATCCATGGAACAAGAAATATATGTGTGATGCATTAGTTGAGCCCACAGCTCACACAGAAACCAAACACACTGTACAAATGGGCATTTTTATGAACAGTCCATATTCCAAAAGGCTCAAAATTATTTGAACAACTGACCAAAAAGCAATTTCATGTGAATGTGAATAAGCCATAGTTAGCTATAGTTAACTCTAAAAGCCAAATCAACAGTCTGGTTCATTCTTAAAAAGAAGGACTGCCAGCTCAGCAAAAAGGCCTGAAAGATCACAGAAGACAGGAAAAGTGCATGATGACAAAATTATTTCCATGGTTAAGAAAAACATTTTCACAACATCTAACCCAACATCTCATCCAAGAGAGCACGTAAGCATCTCAAGGGAGGAATTAAAACAGCCTTTATACGTGTCCAGTGACTTTTGAGCCTGAAAATGGGACAATATGTATAAAAAATGGCTCTAAATCCTGAATAGTTAGTACAACATTTCTGTTAAAACCCTAGAATTCAAGCTAAAAGATGACATTTCAATTTCATAATAATTGCCTGAATTAAAATCCACTGAGACAAAACTACAAAAACTGTGTTGCTGTCCAGATGTGTGTGCATAGACTGAACTATAGATTATGATTTGAGGCGTGCTCAAATTATAATGTTAACAGACAACCCACTCTGCAGTGCTAAACAATATTAATCTCATTTAACCTGCTCAGTGCTGTGTGATGACATACTCTCTCTTAATATGTATATGATAATAAAACCACTCATTGTTGTTATATATTTATAATTCCCACATCAAAAAATGTAAGAGTTGTGTGAAATTTTAGTGCAATATTTTTTAAAGACAGACTTCAAGTTTTACATTTTTATAAACTGTTTACAGTCAAAATCACATTTTGTACATTTACATGATTAAAAATGATGTCTGTAAACTGATTTGATTTTCACATGTATTTCAGAAAATCTAAATATGCACCATGTTTTGCACCACACCTTTATTTCTTGCATTAGTTCATTTAAAATAAAGAAATGACACTCACTGGTATCTTTATTGTCATGCCACCTGACTGTAATGTTATTGCATGACTACTGTGAAAATCATTATGACATCTTTATGTTTTGACTAACATGCAGTCCAACATCAGTACTGTTACTGCAAAAGTAACAAAAATAAACAAAGTTGACTCACAACTTTAATGTAACTATTACAGCCTTGCTTTATTTTTTCACTATTCAAAAATAATTTAATCACGATAAAACAATCTGATGTGTAAACATTAGGATGACTGTTGCATAGCTTCAATCAGAGCTCCATAAAACAAAAATCTGCTGAACTTCAGAAAGAAAGTCTGAGATGTGCTCGTCTCTATACAAATACTGTTTTTAATAATGACATAATAAAGAAATACAATCCATCCATCCATCCATTCGCTTCCGCTTATCCTTTTCAGGGTCGCGGGGGGCGCTGGACCTATCCCAGCTGTCATAGGGCGAGAGGCGGGG